AGCGGGGGCGTAGCAAATCGACGACCGCTGCCGAAGACCGACAATGGACGACGAAAATTCTAGGTACCAACTTAGCCACTACTCGTTCTGTTTGGACAAGACAGACAGCGTAATGCCGTCTGTTCTGAAATGATACCAATCGTTTGAACTCACAGTCAGAAATTGGGTCATCTCATGATTCAGAGGGGAGGCGCAGGAACTAGTTGGAATACAATCCGCTGGACTCTCGTCTAGGAGGCGTTGCGGAATTCTGAACCTCTGAGAGTGCAAACTATCCTATGCCGCAGTCGACTCTATGATCTACGCTTTGTCCGTGGTTGGTGCTCTGGTAAAATCCAACTAGCTAACAGAATTATGTAATCTAAGCCTGTCAGTGGAGTAGTGACAATTCCCTGACTGAAGTGACATCAGCCTGAAACTATGATATTGTTACAGGCAGGTACGTTAGGTTTTGAGAGATAACATCAGTCCTCTTTGAAACAAGTAGAGGAAAAGCTCCATACAAAGTGCCGACTAAGGAATCCATCATTTTGATGGACAATTTCCATGTGCATGTCAGAGCAGACATTGGAAATCAGAATCTAATGACAAGAATGAACGCCCTGACGACTTCTACAACAACGGCATGAATCTGCTGCACTTTTTGAGGAAATAGTATGCGTCATAACGACTGACGGTGTGCTGAACCAAAAGCTGCTCTTAAGTCGAGGAGCGTTCCATTCCACGGTGGTTCAAAGTTCCTCTCCTGTTCGGATATTTTCTTTTGTATAGCGAGGTTATCCGTACAAGAGAGTTTAGTTCGTAATCCTGTTTGATTTGGTCGAAGCGAATCCTCAACTGCGTTCCTCTGTCTTCGGAGGAGGATTCGCGAGTTTGCTTTTTCCAGCATGGGCTTGAGCGTGATCCCAGTTTCTGAATTCATCAATACAGAATGATACCATCGCATGAATAACTTGAAACTGATAGGCTTTCTGAACCCGTGCTTGGCAAAATGAAAAAAGAAAA